TGCCTGGCAAGCATATGGTTATATCGAAGGCAAAGTGTCGCCGATATGTGTGGTGTCAAATTCCTTGTGTGGAATTATGCATTTGTTTGTAAACAATGCAATGCGCTTGGAAACAATTAGTGTATTTTTATATACACTGCGCATTTAAATATAGAACCACTTATTATTATATTAATTGTATGCATTGCCAATATAACTAACGCATAAACATTACACTTCCTTTTTGGGAAAGAATAATGCCATAACGGGATCATTTTTACTTTCTTATAAATAAAGTTTTAATTTTTAATGATTAGGTAAATTAGGTATATTTATTTGTATAATCACTACATTTATTGTAACTTATTCATTATACAATTTTATTCTATTAGCATGTACTAAGTGTTTCTTATTTTTATTGTTCCTTATTTCAATGTTTCCATTGTTTTCTATACTTTCTATTCTATAGGGACCCGTGTATTGACTATCTAGCTTATGACCTACTTCATTCCTAAGTAGTACTTTATCTCCTATACATTGTGACCGAAAAGCTTTCGGAAATTCTCATTTAAAATTCGCGCGCTGTATATTTTTCGATATTTTAAGTTTATGTAGTTTGGCAGCACTGTCCTTAATTACTATGCCAAAAATGAGCGCGATCTGTCAGACAGTTCGTTTACGGCAGCTGTTGAAACCAGTTCACCTCAGTAGTGCGTTGCGAAAAAAACAATGGAAAAAAATATTGATCAAAGAGTTTGCATCAAATTTTGTGTTTCGAACGAATTTTCGTGTGCAGAATCGTTGCGAATGCTACAAAAGGCTTATGGGGAATCAGTTTTATCGAAAACTCAAGTTTATGAGTGGTACAAAGCCTTTCAGGACTGTCGTACGACCGTCGAAGACATGCCGCGTTCTGGACGACCTTCGACCTCTACCACCGACGAAAACATTGAAAAGGCAAAGGAAATCGTGTTCAAAAATCCTCATGTGAGTGTTAGAGAGATAGCACGAGAGCTAGGCATCGGTCGTGAGATGGCTCGTTTGATTTTGGTGGACAATTTGTGTATGCGACGTGTCAACGCTCGGCTTTTTCCGATTCACCTCAATTTGTTCCAAAAACACCATCGTGGACAGGTCTCGTTAGACATGCTTGATCGTGCCAATTCCGATCCAACTTTCATGGAACGCATCATAACGGGTGACGAGACATGGGTCTACGAGTACGACATGCAAACAAGCCAACAATCATCGGAATGGAGAGGAAAAGACGAGCCGAAACCGAAAAAACCACGCCAAAGTCGCTCGAAAATCAAGGCAATGCTGATTGTTTTCTTCGATATTCGTGGTGTGGTGCATCATGAATTCGTCCCTGAAGGACAAACAGTCAATAAAGCCTATTATTTGACTGTTTTAAGACGTTTGCGTGAAAATATCCGCCGTAAACGGCCTCAATTGTGGAAGGATAATTCATGGATTTTTCATGACGATAATGCTCCCTCGCACCGAGCCAACATTATCAACGATTTTAAGGCCAAACATTCAATAAATACCATCGAACAGCCCCCGTATTCACCTGATCTTGCACCGTGTGACTTTTTCCTGTTTCCCAAACTCAAATTACCACTCAGAGGAACGCGTTTTGAATCCATAGAAGACGTAAAACAGAATTCGCAGAGGAAACTCAAAGCCATACCGGAAAGCGCCTATAAAAAATGTTTTGATGATTGGAAGAAACGTTGGCATTTGTGTATCGCTTCTAATGGAGCATATTTTGAAGGAGATAAAATAAATATTGATGAAGATTAAGAATTTTGCGTTTTATTTATTTATTTCCGGAAACTTTTCGGTCACAATGTATAATATTTAATTCTAATTGTTCACTATTTCTATCATGGAGCAACTTCTGTTTTAATTTAGACTTATCTAAAAGTGTTTTGGCTCTAGTGTGCGCTATTTCTAATCTATATTTAATTTCTTTACTATAGTCATCTATATTATATAATGGACTTATGTTACTAATTGTATTGAATTTATTGAAACCTTTAGGAATTTTTCCAAAAATAAGCTCGTATGGACAATATCCATGCACCACTGATGGTGTTGTATTGAAACAATATGTGAAGTATTTCAACCATATATCCCAGTCGTTTTTATCGACTGATATGTATGAACGTACATATTCATTAAATGTTCGGTGACTGCGTTCTACAGTTCCGAGTGTTTGGTGGTGATGAGCTGTTGATGTTATAGTTTTGATTTTTAAGTATTTGCATATATCCGTTATTAAAGAACTTTTATACTCTGTACCCATGTCCGTAATGAACGTCTTCATTGGACCGTACAAAAGTATAAAATTTTCAAAAATTGCCTTGGCTACAGTATTTGCACTTTTATTTGGTATTGGTATAGTTACTAAGTATTTTGTTAAATCACATATAAGTGTGACAGCATACTTATTGCCATTCTCAGTTTTAGGTAATGGACCAATGGTATCTACCAATACTGTGTCAAAAGAGCCTATTGGCGTATCGTTTATTGTCATTGGTATTTTTGTATGATTATTAATTTTAGATTTTTGACATTTCTGACATGATTTGACATATCTTGATATATCTTTGGTCATGTAGAAATGTCTTTTAATTTTTTGTAACGTTTTTGTTATTCCGCAGTGTCCACCTTCCACTGGGTCATCATGGTAATTTTTTAAAGTTTTTCTTATTTCTTCCTCTTTAACCAGTTTGGTCACCTTTGGCAGTAGCGCTACTGTTAAATTTTTCAATAATTTATTGCCCTTGGCCTTAAATTCATTTATTGAGACAAATTCGAAAATTTTCTCACTAGGTGCCATTTGTACTTTGTTGATGCGATGTTTGCAGGTTAATTTCTCTAACCTTGAGAATAATTGTCCTAAGTCAATTTTCTCATTGACAAACAGATTGTGGCAGCACCAGCCAAACATGTGCACGTTCGCAGCACCAGACAAACATGTGCATGCTTGAACATATGAACGACACGAAACACGGACACGCAATGAATGCATATATAGAGCAACAGCACTTGTGCACGAGTCAGTCGTTCGTTACATACGGCGTGGAATATACTAAACTGGTGACCCCGACGTGATCAGTTCTTTTCAGAAATGTTCACTAATTAAGAGTATATTTCATCAGCACACAAAAAGTTCTTTTCAGAACTTAAAAATATATTGCATCAATACATAAAAAGTTCTTTTCAGAACTTAAAAATATATTGCATCAGCACACAAAAAGTTCTTTTCAGAAATCGGCGAGCAGAGTTCCGGCTTAGTGGCAGTGCGAAACTAAGGAAAAAATGTCGATGCAAGATGAGAATGCAGCATCGCTCAGACAGCAGCGCGAAGACTTGCCACCAATGGTGAATCGCGTTTCGGTGAAGGTGCAGTTCGCGGTGGCAGGTGTGTGCAACGACATGACGAGATTCAACACCGTAGTGGCTGCCATAGAGTCCAGCATCGTAGCCGACGTGGCTGACGCAATGCTTCATCCGCCAGCAGCAAACAGGTACGAGAACCTAAAAAAACAAATAATCGAATAGTATGGTGAATCAGAACAGCGCAAAATTCAGCGGCTGTTATCAGACGTACAGCTTGGCGATCGTCGGCCTACTCAATTGCTAAACGAACTGACGACATTGGCGAAGGATAAGGTGAGCGACGAATTCTTGAAAACACTCTGGCTCCAGCGTTTGCCTCCACAAGTTGTAAGGACGGAAATTTTGACACCAAATTTCCGCCTACATAAAAAAACTAGGCACTGAATTAACAAAGAGGAAAATTGAAATTTTTGGTTAATTTAATTTATTTTGATAATTTTATTTTATATAACAAAAAAATTATTTTTTATTGACGATTTAAAGCGCGTGTTAGAATAACAAACTGTCAAAACAAAACACGACGAAAACAAAGTCAAAAGCACAGCGGCTTCACGACAAAGATCATAAACACAGCGGTTACACTGCTCAACCCAGTGGGTAAACGAACGGGAAAATTTAAATACGCTAGAAGAAAGCTCCCACGTATAGGTATTTAAGACAGCGAAATTATGAAGCAGGGGCGAGTCGATGAACATTCGTCAAGGTGGTATTACGCCGAAACAAAAATTATAATAATAAATTATATGTCTATGAAACATATATCAGAAATATATAAGTCCTGCGTTGGTATTACGACAACGGCCATAAATTATATGTCTATGAAACAACCTACGTCCCAGAAAAAAATAAATTCATTGTAATGACTCTGGACGACGGCTGAGGATACCCCAGCAAAAACTAAATATTTTTGAACGTCACCAAAAAGTGTCGTTACAATTGGCGCCCGAGCAGGGACAAGAGTTTTGAAAAAAAAAGAACGCACTAGGAACATAAAGAACGTTTCAGGAAAAAATCATTAGACTACACACAAAGTCGCTTAAACCACTAAACACAGGAACAGAGAAATCGGAAGCCACGAAAATGTACCTAAGGCCTAAAATTGCGAATCGTTGAATGAGGAACAGTGAAAGAGTTCGTTCTTCAAACAGAGCAGTGCGTCACCCCAAGAGAAGGTCTTGATCAAAGTCACGCGAGGAATTAACATACAATGCCATCATATATTGAAACCATTGAACAAATAACTGAGTGGTCAGTACGTTATGACGGCGAAGGAGATCCATTAGGCTTCGTGAGAAGGATAGAAGAGCTATCAGACATCTATGACATCGACATAAATGTAGTCCCAAGGACGATGCCCATACTCCTTGAAAATAGGGCACTGATGTGGCACCGCAACAACAATAAGCGTTGGAACCTCTGGTCAAGCTTCAAGGCAGACTTTTTAGAATTTTTCCTTCCACATGAGTATTTCAAAAGATTATAAGAACTTCGGACAGAGCAAGTTAAAACA